AAGAATACGAGCCTGAAATCTGCCTTTCTTGGTCTTTTCGCAGTAAAACTTCCGAATCAACATATAAAACACTCAACATCCCATTTCGGGGAGTGTTTTGAAAAAACTTTACAATTAAGGCACAAATGCACTGAATATGGGATCTTAATGTAAAAAAAGCATACGCAACTACTTCAGCTGTATAAAACAACCAGAAGGTAAATCCCTGCCATTTACGCATAGTAGTATTATTTGTCACATTTGTGATAAATATAAACACTCTCCTTGACAAATAATTATTTTTCCATTTTTCAAGATCACGCACAATTGAACTTTTAAGCAGCACCTTCGATGTATGTTCTAAAATCTCCACAAACCTTGGTGTCGCACATGGTTTTACGGTACTTTTTTCCTTTTTTAATTAAATCGGAACTGAAGTGGCTGGCCTCCGGAAGCAGAACAAGGTTCATGTTGGTTATTGGCGAAACAATCACTCGCATAAAGCAGTTTTACCATTTATGATCAAGATGATATGGGGTCAATTCAAAGTTCTTTTAATTAATCAAGTATTTAAAAAATTGCAGGCCTGATTTGGTGTTAACAAGATAAAAATTTAATTTATAACAAACATACATAAAATAATACTCTTTTTGGGTTAAATTGATCGTCGATCACTGTTTATATATTATTGTTGCTGCATATTTCCAAATTGTCGATTACGGCTATGGGAACTGAGACATTGTGACTTGAGTGTTTAACTCAATATTGCATTCGAATATTGATCAAATCGATTCAAACATGACGCTGTTTTTCTCGAAGTTTCTCAAGCCCCATTTGTGCCAGAATTTATTTAGACATCGTTGGATAGAGAATTGAAAATTCGATTCAGTCATTGTCATAAGAACTTGAGTGAGTAAATTCTAGTAGTTTTGAACCAGAAAGCCAAATTAGTATATCAGACACTTAGGTGTAAGTTTATATGAAAATTTCATGTTTTCCGTCCCGTTTTTGCTCGTTGCTCGGAAGCAAAATGAGCAAAAACGGTAATTTTTTCATCATTCCAGAGAGAACTAAATGACCTTTTTTTAGAACGTGAACCATCGATCAGGAAATGTTAGCAGTTTTTTCAAAAAAGTGTTGATTCAAGAAGTTTTAGATTTGAGTGTTTTTTTGAGTTGCAAAGTCGACTCAAACATGACGCTGCTTTTTTCGAAATTTCTGAAGCCCAATTTGAGCCACAGAATTCGTTTAGGCATCGTTAGAGAATTAAAAATTCGACCAGTCGTAACAACATGAGTGAAGAAATTCGAATAGTTTTAACCCAGAAAGCGAAATTTGAATATCAGACACTTAGGTGCAAGATTATATCAAAATTTCATGTTTTGCGTCCCGTTTTTGCTCGTTGCTCGGAAGCAAAATAAGCAAGAACGCTACTTTTTATATCATTCCAGAGATAATTAAATGGCCTTTTTAGAAAGTGAAATATGTTTAAGGCAAAGTTGGTAGTTTCGCAAAAAAGTCGTGATTCAAGAAGTTTTAGATGTGCGTGTTTTTACGAGTTTTTTAGCAAGTTCCAGACAGCAAATGTAGACAATAATTGAAACAAATTTAAGGTTTCAAGACAGCAAAGACCTAAAAGAATCTAATGTTTCCCAATTATGAGTTTATATGGATTTTAAATCTGATTATGGCGCTGTTGCCTCGCCGAAACGTTATGAAATAAACGATACACAAATTTTTATTTCACACTTTGTCTGAAACCCAGGAAGGAAAAGAACATAATTGAAGAATATGCAAAGAAAACGTTACATATATATATTATTAAACCGTACAGGAGAACCTTCCAATAGTAAAAAACATTCAGTATCTCAATTTAATTGAAAATTTAGTTAAAGTTAAAATAATTTAAATTAATTTGATTTTGCAACACAACTTTGTTTTCGATATTAGTTCAAAGGCTAACATTAAACCGATCAGAGGCAGTGGAAAATAAGTTTAATTAATAATCGTTTTTTTGATTTATTTGTCTTCATATTTATACTATAAATTAAATATTTACACCTCAATTAACTTACAGCTAGTTACTGCTGACCATATAAATCGAAAGATATTGACCGCAAGATTTAGTAATTATGTATGCAAAACATATAGTAAATCGTCAAAATCCTTGTGTTCACTCAACTATGGAAAGAAATGCAGGAAATAACAATACTCGATTTCAAGTAACAATGTCATGATTATAGAATAATTTCGACGTGTTGTTAATGAAATATCTCCGTGTAAACGTGTTTTGTTGTGCGTTTTAAGTGTACATGCATGTGTACAGGGTTATTAAAAATTGAAATAATTCCTCCCGAGTCGCTAGTAGGATGAGTACCAAAGCACATACAAGCGATATTTTAAAATTTTCCTTGCAATTTAAAACTAAATGCAATTTAAACAAACTACCAATTTTGCTTAATGGCTTTCTCTTACTTGGGGAATGTGCATAAACACGTTTTTAGCTACCATAAGATAAATTGATCGAAATTGCGTTTTGCGGAAAGTGTATTTTTAAATTCTTGGCCCACAAGGCTTGAACAGTGTTAATTGTAGACTATGAGTGATGGAAGAACCGAAAGACTTGAATGGTCTACGCGATAACTAAATATCCTGTTTATTTCATTCCAGACCAAATGGAGTTAAAGTGGAACGAAAATCTCGAAATTGTAACTTCCGACGCTAAAGAAAAGCGATTCTTTTATAACATTTTACACAGAATTGCCTTGAACTGGATCTTAGAAAGATCTAAAAATGGGTCTACAATTCCGGAAAATTATTCATTATTATGACTGAACGTGTTATGACGATTCAACTATAAAAAAGTAAATAAAACGCATAGCATAATGCAGATGAAGTACATTTTTTTGGTAACATTGTTATTTTCACCACATTGAATTTGGGAAAGGTTTACTGTTTAAAACATACTATAAAATAAATAATAGTTCTCATAGTCTAGTTAGGCAGTTATTTTATACACGACTTGCGTTTGAGTTTGATGTTTTATATTGTTGCTTGTTTGAGCTTTGCACGATCTATTAATGCGCATGTTACTATTTAAAAAAATTATTGAATGGATCTGGTAAACTATTCTTACCGATTTAAAAAATATAAATTTTTTTGAATAAAAACGTGGGTCTGCGTTGGAAAAGTTACGTCCCCACACCAATTATTTCATATGATTTTTTGCTTTAAATGTTTCAATTGGAAAAGAAGAGAGTAGATCAATGAATTATTAAGCCTAAACAGTACATCATCATCCCAATTAAAGTTCTCGGTCGGAATAGGGTCAAGATTATCCACTTTGTTCAAGTACCTGCGTATTATTATCGACTTATTGGGTTTGCCTTATTTAGTCATTTAATATCTTTTAAGAGCTTTGCAGACGGGATTGGTTCAATGCATTTTGATTTGTCAATCTTTTCCACCTTTACGCTGAAGGTCTTATAAGAAATAAAATAAGATCAGGTATTCAGTAATTAAATATTCGAATAATATATGTATAGGTATTGAAGTGATAAATTATTTTTTCATGCGTTACCATTTGAATTCAATTTACCTAAGTATGTATTAATCGATAGGTAACGCAGGCTTAAAGCTATCTATCTAATGTAATTAATTTGACCTACTTTGATAAAGTCATTGGGATTGAGACTAATTATTTTATGGCTTTATTTGAATAACGTAGCTTTTAATTCTGGCCGTTTTGGTTAAACACAAAAGCAGCGAACTAGTAATGTAATGTTATAGACAGATGCAAAATTTGATAATTGTCGTAAGTTGAGAGCCAACACAATTTCTTTCCAATACACCTCTCTAAAAGTATATTAGAGAGTTTTAATATATCATATGTAAATCGTATCGTATCGTATTTTGTGCTTAATTAAAAAATTTCAAGTTAAGTTGTATTATAAAAAGATCTCGTATGTATTTTTGTGCTTTATACCCCTTGCATAATATTAATGTTTTATTACATTCGAATTATAAGAACTCGTTCTTTGGTTATCTTGATATCTGGGTAAATGCCACTTTTCACACTTATGTGATTTACAACATTTTCCCGTGGATGGGAAAGGGGAAAAATGATGATCAGTCGATTATCAAACTATATATTTTTTCAGTAAAAGATGCTCCTCGGGTCTTGTTGAAAATGTGAATAGTTTCCGAGGAATGATAATCAAGTCGACCGACTTTTCAACAAGCTTTGGTACTTTACACTGTTACATTTTAATAAAACGACTGAAAATCGCTTGAACTCCGCTTGCTGTAATTATGTATGACAATTTCGTACTTTTTTTGTGTGTAGAATATACGCTTTTAACAAAATTGCAAAATTTAACTGTTCTGGTATAATAATCCTTAATAAATGTTTTTCTATAAGTACTTCTAGGTCGGAAGTTAACCATTTTCTGCGACGAAACAAAATTCTGCCCCAAACAGAGCTGCATGAGCTAAATTTTTTCTTAATTGTAATACTTGCAATAATTTGTATTGCTCCGATTGTCTAGTCTCTAGACAAAATTTATTGTATTAAACTTAAATTTGTTTTACAACGCTTGTGATTCTATTATTCGTTGGCAGATTTTAATCGAAGATTCTGGTAATACCAGAAGTCCTAAATACCCGTATTTTGGATGGAATGACGGGTGAACTAAACTGAATCGTTTTAAATATTTCCATTAAAATTATATTATAGAAATGTAAAAGATAATTTGCTATAAATCCTCCGTTACTGGAATTGCCGTGCGGAATATTTCACTAGTTTAACGTACCTATATTTACATAATATTATGCTGATTATATTATATATAAACCATTATTTACACTTTGCAATTGCAATTAAATAAATTATTTTGGCTTATGGGAATCTTTGATAAAAATAGAAAATATACATAATTAGAAGTCCATCTAATTGAAATCATTTCTATTATGTCAATTTTTTGTACATCTAAATAAATATTTCTAATAATCATAAAAAGTATTCATTTGAATTTTTAGGTAAAGGTATTTACCTTGCCGTTAAGTTCGCACCAATTGACGTCATGAGCCAAAGAATGCATTTGGAACATCAATGCTGTTAAACGGTTTTTTTTTTCGTTTTTATCGTAAGTCCTGATATCTGAAGTTCGTTCATAAAACTTTCGTATATTTCTTCGACAATCTCAGTTACAAATTACTGTATTATACAGTAATTAACAAGTCGTAAAAAAGCAAGATTTCGCTTCTTATCAGGCATATATGTTATGCAGATTACCAGATGGAAAAGACAAAGACAGTTTAGAAACATGCAACAATAACCTGAAACTGCAAACGTAAACATTTATGTTTTGTAGGTTAATAATGGAAAAGCTTTCCACGTAAACAAACATTTTTTATTGTTTTTTATATAAAATATAGACATGGTGTTGAAAAAAACAAAAGGGTATCAAGATATTGATGGAAATTTAACACTGCCAATAAGCAAAGGACTTGTAGATCCAGATACTACAGTGCCACAAGAAATTGAAATGGCCTCTGTCTCAGTAGTACCTGATGGTAAGATTTTACTTCTTATTTCGTTTAAAATGCTATAAACATGATGAAGCTATTGATGTGTGTAACCCTTTACCAAGCCAAAAGGTTGAGATATTAATAAAGGCCTTTAACCCTGATTGTTTTCAGGGGCGGATTAACGGAGGGGCTACGGCCTTGAGAGGGCCCCGCGAACTCTGAGTAGTCAAAAAAGTCCATATTCAGTTTAGGTCCGGGCTCCGTAAAGCTTTAATCCGCTCCTGAATGTTCTTCGTCAGGACTTGTACTCGCAATAGCTCAAGTATGTTTATTATCAGTTTTCACGCTTTACATGAGGATTTTAGCCGCCAAAATGCAAAAGTTTATGTATACGGAATCGCGCTATTATTTTTCTTCTTCTAAAGGTAGAAATTTTGGATATCTAAGATATAACTTATTGAAAAGTGACAAAACAATTACAAATGATTATAAAATTAATGTTTTAAACGGAGGCAAACGCTTATATATGTAAATGTGGTTTATTTACTTTCTCAGAAGTAGATATTTGGAATCGTTTTCGAATTATGATTATTTTAAATTTTGGTCGCATGCACATCTCACTCATTAAGTACTTACAAACCGAATTTTATAAATTGCTTTTTCTACTCAATCATTATTTGTGATGTTCTATTATGCTCTATTGCAATATGCAAATCAGGTATTTTATTGGTTAAAATTAAGGGTTTCGAATTGTTATTTAACAATTCACGTTATTAAACAACTTAATTGGTAATAAATTGTTAAATCAGTTCTACAAAAAAACCGTTATTGAAAATATCCAATCACGACGTGGCCAATACTTCTTGACCAAATGAAGAACTTAACTGTAATCCGTAGACTGGAAGATTATCCACCTGTTGACAAAATTGTTGTTTTTAGCGAAACACGAAGAAAAATTGACTGAAAAGCTAAGCGAAATATTAACGTAATTAAAACGGGATTAAAACGAATAATCACGTCTTATTGACGGCTTCTAAAAACCTTCCAGGTCACATGTAAAAATTTGCGAACAATATGACCTGTTAATCACGCAAACTGCCTGTGTGTTGGCTATGCTAAAATTCTGGAATTAATGTAATTTGCGAAATTCTGGCACAGCATCTGAGAGCCTTTCTTAGTTTGTCAAAATAATAGTCAGAGAAGAAATTCTGACGGTCAATTCAATCATTGTTGTTGTAAATTGGTCAATTTTTAGATACTTTAAACCACTATGTAAAAAAACTCAGTTTAAATGGTTGTTTCTTGCTGCACTTATATCTGGCATATCTGAAAATGGCTTGTTTTTTCTAAACATAATGACGAAAAACAAACTTTGTTGAGACCTGCATAAAATATTTCAATATGTACAATACGCCGTTAGTAATTGAACCCGTCGTAATGCTTTTTTAGATACGTTTACAGTAACCCAGGCTGTGAACGCGTTAGGGTTTGGCTGGTTTCAAGTAAAACTGTCTCTATGGACAGGACTTTGTTGGATGGCCGACAGTATGGAGATGACAATATTGTCTATATTATCACCCGCATTACACTGCACTTGGCATATTACAAGGTAAATTACAGGTCTATGCATATGTTGTCTAACTGTACAGTCAGCGCAATGCAAGGGCATGCACGATGTTGGTGACTAACTTAAGATTTCAAAAAGTCAGCTAAGAGCAGATCAAAATACACTCTATTCTTCATTACATTGGAGCATTAGGAAAGTTTAATACGCATCTTTGAGAACTGAACTCAACATCTAATATTTCTCCCGCACTTTCCAATTAGCCCCTTGTTGCAACGAAGCTCATTTTGAATTCCCTATATATCTAGAAGCCTTCCTTCCCGTAGTTTAAAAAATACTTTTAAGGTATCAACAAGCTCTCACTACGACGATAGTTTTTCTTGGCATGATGCTTTCATCGACGTTTTGGGGCAACCTGAGTGACCGTTATGGAAGAAAGCATGCAAGTATTGTGCTTTTCATTGGTTGGACCATTTGTTTAGGTTTGTTTTATCTCATTGTAGGCATTAAGTTTATGCGCTGTTTTGTTATTCTACTATGGACTATTAAGTTCTATAGCGCCTAGCTTTATGTGGATGCTTTTATTGAGAGGTCTAGTTGGATTTGCAATAGGTTGCACCCCGCAGTCGTAAGTACATTATTGTCACATTAATTAGGTAGTATAGGCTTGCAAGGATTGTAATTAACGTTTTGAGCTTGCTTTGTTTACTAGATGTTTTTTTTATTTTGAAAATGTTTTTAATGTTGGTTTGAAATGGGAAATATTTATGTGCTGAAATCGATTCCGAAAAGTTTTTCAATGAAAGAATAGTATAGAAGTAATAATCGGAACGGGATGGGCAAAATCTGAAGGAGGACAAGACTGCTCGGTCCAATCGAAAGGTTGTTTTACGGTTGTTTAAGTCTTGCGTTGTCCATCAAAACATCGCCTCGTCAGTTCGCTAATTCTGGTCGGTTTTCGGATATGGCAGCTTTAAATTAATTCCGATAATTGCAATATTTGGAATATTTGCTGTTGATGACGGAGATCATCTTTACAGTGCCACCCAATTCACTAATTCATTCGGACTAAAATTTGGTCTTCTAATAATAAAACGTCGCTTTTGCTTGAACCAAGTAAGTTTTCGATGCACTTATTGATACGAAATCAGGATCTTGTCCTAAGGGCTAAAGCTCTTTAATGAAGGTTTTCTTTCATTTCATTCATCTTTGTCAATTGGTCTGAAAGCCAGACTTAAGACTAAATTTGAATGTAGCGTCATCCTGGAAAGGTAGTGATATCCAGATAAGGCTGCATGTTTATATAAAAAATAAGCAGCTGGAGTAACTCACTACGGAATGGAACTTCACTATTTTCTTACTGACTTACAGACGCGATTTCTGCCGTCGCCTCCACAGCCGTCTTAATAAAAACCGTGCTAATAAGTGCTAATAAAAATCAATTAAACCTATTTAGAAGCATCAAATCGTTCAAAAATTGTCAATTTAAATTTTTTGCAATATTAGGACGATTCCAAAGATTTTAGCAATTTTTTAAATGATAATAAGAAAGTAGTGTGAAAATAAATATACCACGAAATTTGATTATTAAATTTGCAGTCAGTAATTTCGTAAAATTTTGTCTGAATGCATCAATACGATTATATTTCCAGTAAAGACATTTTTAATCGTCAAGTTAGCAGTTTAAACAAAGTGTCTTAATTTGATATGTACAAATTTAAATGTTGATGCGCCAGGACAGGACGCAACACTAAAATTGTACTACATTTTAATTAAATGTAATTGTATATACTTTCCTGACTGTGTTTCAATTCCAAATCAAATTCATTCCGGGGTTTCAGTCATTTATTGTATTTGTTTCGGTGTTTTTTTCCACCATCATCAGTTTTTGTAAAATAACAGATAGTTAAAAAATTTTGTCATTAATTTAAAAAACAACCACAGTTCGTCAACAGCCTCATCATATCACACATTAAAATACATCACCATTGCAATACTTTAAAACATACACAAAACGAATAAAATACTGTTTATATTGATTTCTTTTACTTTCAGCTATTTTTTTGCATTCTGAGGATATTATTTTTGGCTTACAAAATTCTTCAATATACCGGGTGTTAGTTAATATTTTATGTTTATTTCATTTAATTAATGTATGACATACTGAGCTAAGATTGTCGGTATCCGATCTGAAATTCATAGCATTGTTATGTTTTTTAATCTGTATGATTTTATGGACTTTTCTCTTATTATAGTTACTCTCGTTAATCAGTATTTTTGTGTTATCAAAATCAAAATTATGCAACCTCTGTTGTACATGCTGTGCTAATGTTGTACCATTTTCGTTATTTTTTCTTAGACTTTTTCTTATTCTTATGTTCGTATATTCTTTTCTTTAGATATTGTCCTGTTTGACCATTGATAACACAAAAATACTGATTAACGAGAGTAATTATAATAAGAGAAGAGTTCATGAAATGATACAGATTAAAAAACAACAATGCTATGAATTTCAGATCGGATACCGACAATCTTAGCTCAGTATATCATACATTAATTAAATCAAATAAACATAAAATATTAACTAACACCCGGTATGTTGAAGATTTTTGCAAACCAAAAATAATATCCTCAGAATGCAAAGAAAAATAGCTGAAGTATTGCAATTGTGATGTATTTTAATGTGTGATATGATGAGGCTGTTGACGAACTGTGGTTGTTTTTTAAATTAATGACAAATTTTTTTAACT